TTCCCACTGCCAGGAGCAGTCCAAGGATTTGATGTGGTCTGGTTTCCACCCTTTCTGATGACTGCATGATGTTGTCTCAGCGTGGCTCTTACTTGCCTTTCCCTGGCAGCTGAAGGGGTCGCACACCATTTCACGTGCTTGTTGACCTAAAATGGCCTTGAGGACACCCTGCAGGGAAGTGAGTAGAGGCTGGTAGGAGTGAGGCGATGCAGGACTCAGCCCCCACAGTCCTGCCGAGGGCTGTTTGGGTCCTCAGAGTTGCCTTTGTGTCAGGAACTACTTGGGCACTTGCCAAGATGTGTGTGGAAATAACCACTCAAGCCAGCTAGAGAGGATAAGGAGGAGATGGAACTGACAGAGACTGGTACCTCTCATCTGTCATGGATTCATTTCGGGCTGACAATGACTTGGTGATTAGGTTATCAGCCCTGTACGGTGTCTTTACTGTTTTTGGTAAATAGACTGATGGTGGTAGCAGAATGATGATGTTGCCTTTGTGTTTTTAAACTAAGTCTTCATCTGCTGTGGAGACTGGACTTGAGGGGAGCTCAGAGGCTGCTGCAGTAAAGCAGCCAGATGGGAAGTTGGACTTGGAGTGGTGGCAGGAGAGTCTGAGCCAAGTAGAGAAAAAGAAATATTCACACTTATATTTCATTTTGAAAAACCTAATAGTTTGAAAAAGTAGGGACTAATACACCAAACACCTGTATACTTACCCTAAAGTTCACCACTAGCATGCTCTAATCCTTCTCCTCTTGGCTTCAGGATCTGGGGATGACCCACAACTCCGTGAGGCTCTGACAGTTCCCTGCTTTCATTCTGCTATACCCCCATGCCGTCTTCCAATGTGCCCCCTTTCCCTGCCACCACACCTCCTTATTTTTCCACTCTTAGAACTTGGACCCAGGGTTCAACTCAGTGCCTTGAAGTGTCCCCTAAAACTTGGGGGTGGGAACCTGAATTGACAGTGCTCAGCATGGGAAGTGTCTGCAACAGGGGCTCCCTCCCTGTTAACCCTGGGGCTAGCAGGGGGCACACATCATCTCTCTCATGCCTCATGGAGCAGATGCAGTCTGCTGAGCTGTAGTGTTGCACCCATGTTCATAGCCTGCTGCTTCTGCCATGTGCAGCCCCTGCTCTGCCCAGGGAGGTACCTGCTGCCCTTGCCCAGCTCTCCTGCTCTGCATCTCCATGCACTCTTCCCTTCCCCTTGCTTGCCACAGATGTGACTTGGTATTATTTCTTTTATATTTTTATAAACAGAGTCTTGCTAATTTGCCCAGGCTGGCCTTGAACTTGTGATTCTCCTACTCAACCTCCAGAGTAGAGTAGTGAGGATGTTAGGTGTGACCACTATGCCTGCCTCTCGTCCTTTAAAAGTCCCAGAGGTTTTATTTCCCTGTTGAGTCCTTCCTGCTCCCTGTGCACATTCCTTTCCACCTGCTCCTCCTCGCCTGCCCCACTGCAGGCCGTGAAGCATTCTCAGCAGCTCTTACTTCAAGTAATAGGCTCACACACTGGTCTCCTGGTTTTGACATTAAGGATGGCTTCCTGTGGGGTGGCTGGTGAGCTAGGTTCTTACTAGCATCACCTTCAACCCAAATGTACCCCCAAAATCAGGAGCCAAGAGAATGCTGTTACCGAGAGTTTTACGTCTATACGTGGCTGTATGAGTACAGTCCACTAGTGAGCCACTGCATGTCTCTTTTTTCATATGAGCTTTTGTTTTCCTAGAGCTATGATTGCCCTGTTTTTTCCCAGGATTAGTTCTGTGTGCCTGTAGTGCCTTTTGCAAAGGACAGCTCATCTGCCGGATGATCTTGCAGCTCTTCCTCCCCCAGAGAGAGGCGAGTCCCTCCAGCCAGTCTCCTCCCCCTAGCCACTGCTCCCTGGCAGAGTCCATGCCACACTGCCCATATCCTGGGACTTTCTTCACTGTTTTTTTTTTTTTTGGAAGACCATTCCCTGATCTTCCTCTCTGTTAATTTTCTCTTATTTTGACAAATTGTGGCTTCCAGCAGTTTTCTGAGAAAGGGTTTTGTTTTGATTCTGCTTTTTGGAAACATGTTTACTCCTTCCTCAACCTTGATTGAAAATTCAGCTAGTATGGAATATATGCTGAAATTATTTTTCTTGGGCTCCTAGGAGAGGCTGATGCTTGGTCTCCCGTGTGATGCCATTGGGTGTTTCCCTTTTGTACATGACATCTATGTCCTCTGAGGTTGGTACGTAGGTGTTCTGGGCTGCCTGTTCCTCAGCAGAGCTGGTGGTCATCCAAGTCAGCTGGAGACCTTGTGCTCAGCCCAGGAGGCTCTGGTTTAACCTCTGGCTACTTTTCCTTCCTTTTCTTTGTTGTCTTCTAGAGCTCGTCACCTGAGTGATGGGCCCCTGAACCCCATCCTGGTTCTTTTACTTCCTGCCAGCCATCTCTTATACTCCACCCTGGAGAAGAGTGTTGTGGTTTTTATTTTTGTTGCTCCTGTTTGGATTTTAGCTGATGCTTCCTGCCATTTCCTTTCTCGTAGCAGGCTGCTCAGCCTTAGGGAACCCCATTGGTTGTTGTGGCTGAGTTAGGCCCAGTAGCAGCTGGTGCTGTGCCAGACTCCACCTCTTCTGTCTGGCAGAGGTGAGAGTAGCCCTGCCTCACGGTCTGCTGTGAGGCTCACTGGGGTAGTGTGCCACAGCTCCCTAAAACATCCACAGTGTGTGTGCTCTTGGACAGTGCCCGTCTCCTGCATGTTTGTGATGCTGGTGCTTCTGGTCTGTGTCTGAGAGTGGAGTTACTGTGAGGTGGGCATTCGGCCAGGATCCCAAACAGATTGCAGTTTAAGGCCTTCTCTTTTGGGCTTTGCATTTCAGAGAAGTCTCAGGGTGGTGGGGATGCTGAACTCCTGGCAGCCAGCATCTGAGCAGCAGGAAATGGCAAGAGCACTGTTCCCACCTAGCAGGGTAGGGTGGAGTCGGGTGTACCCTGCAGTTCTGCACACCTCCTGCAGCTCCACACCCACTCCTCCCTGCTGTCCTCCACAGTCCTTGAAGCAGCCTCACAAGAATGCCTTCAGCTTTCTTTCGACCCCTGGATTGGGGCAGGGAAGGGACAGGAATTCACCCACAGTCGTGTACTCCTGGAAGTGTGGGCTGGCCCACAGGGTGCTGGGGATGGCCACGGTTCTGAGGGGAGCTGAACATTTAGCAGGACTTTTGGCATCAGCCAGATGACCATCTTACAGCCATGCCCCAGAGCTTTGGGCTGCCGCAGTGGAGCAGCTCTCTGAGTAGACCCGATGCCACCCTGGGATGGCCAGGGGGTACTGGGGGTGCTGCGGGTGGACTCCAGTAGAAAAAGGAGGCAGAATTGACTCCCACCAAAGTATGTGGTGGTTTTGGGTTTTCAATTCCAGCCGGGTGCCCTGCACAGTACCACAGTTATACTTTTAGCCTGTTGCATTTATAAAATAATATCCATCAGATCAAACTGATGACTGATAATTTACATTTTACTGGTTTTGTAGTTTGTTGCCATTTAGTTTGTATGTTTATTTTGGTTTTAGACCTTGTAAAAAGAGAGTATTTCTAAGTTTAGGCCCATGCATATTTACGCAGCTTAATGAAAATCATTTCTCAACACTGACAGCCGTGGGATTTCTCTTTTTAAAAGATTCAGTTCTTTATAATTAAATTTGAAAATCACTGACAGAACACCATTAATTATATAATATTGTATATCTTCTGGGTATAAATGACATAGATTTAGTCTCTTTTAATCCAGTACAGAAAATTTTAGTTTTATTTAAGCAAATTAGATTATTTAGAGTAATTTTAAGAGTGATGGGCTAGGAGTGCAGCTTATAGAGTGCCTGCCTAGCATATGTGAGACCCTGGATTCAGTTCCTAGCACTGCCTTCCCAAAAAGGAGGCAAATGCCTCTAATAAGAAGTAGCTAATCCTTTCCAGTCTAACCGAAGATTTCTTTAAAAAAAGAAAACAATCCCAGCAATGAAATTCAAGCCTTGAGGAGGGAAAGGTGCTGATGCCATCGGGCTGGCTCTGCAGTAAATGACCCACTTTAGTGTTGGTGCTGACCTTTAAGAATGATTTCCTAGTAAGGCCACCTGGTGGGGATTCTTCAGGTAGTCTCAACCTTTGGGTCTGAGTCACAGTTATTCGTAGACGGACTGTTTCCAACAGCCATGTATAAGTGTTTGTCTTTAAGAACATGCAGCTTTTGTGCCCCTGTGCACCATGGTGTGCTTAGCAGCTGCTCTGCACGACTGTGCATTGGTGCCTGGCAGACCCTGAGACTGCAGCTCTACTGGGTCAGATTTAGGGTCCAGTGGTGGCCACAGCACATGACACAGCCGAGCCACAGGGAGGCTGATTCCCCAGGAACCACTGTGCTGAGGCAGGGACCCATGGTGTTTTTCTTGATTAGAGAGCGAACTGAGGGCCCTCCAGTGTGTGCCACGGTTCTCGCCTCCCGGGAGCTCATGTGTTGTGATGTCAGAAACTCGGGGATCTTATTGTGGTCGTGTTGTCATTATCGAGGAGACTGGGGCTTTATTTAGTGAAGTGGAACTTATTCTGTCTACAATGCTATCTTGTGCACAAGCCAACAAAATGGACTGCGTATGATGTTAAAACACTCCTATTGCTGCTGTGTGAGAATCCAGTTTACATTAAAAAGTCAACATTGGTCATGTATTGTAAAGTTAGGCAGCATTCTTCTAGGACCAATCAGAGTTTTTCTCTTATTTTGTTTTCCTTTTAGAAAGTAATGTTCTAAATTTCTGCCCTGTCTCCTTAAGTCAAGATAACCCAGTCTAGACAAATTCTGGTGTACCAGAGGACCAGGCATCATCGGGCCAGTTGGTATTTAAAACTTTGCCATGATATTTTTGTTTCATCTGGGGAGAACGTTTTACACGTTTACCTTTCTTTTTATTTCCTTGTGACTCCTCCCAAAAAGACAATCTGTAATTTCTCCTGTATTTTATTGGCAGCTGACATCATTTCAACTGTTGAATTTAATTACTCTGGAGATCTTCTTGCAACAGGAGACAAGGGCGGCAGAGTTGTTATTTTTCAGCGGGAACAAGAGGTCAGTAATATACAACCCTCAAACCAAATAAAATAATTCACACCTTCTTATCACTTACAAGAAAAGAAACACAGGCTGGGGTTGTGGCCTAGCACGTGTGAGGCACTAGATTTGATCCTCAACACCACATAAAGTTAATTAAATAAAATCAAGTCATTATGTCCATCTACAACTAAAGAAAAATATTTAAATATTTGTTTAAAAATATTTAAGCAAACGAACAAACCTTCCCTCTGCTGCTTTTTAAAAAAAAGAAAAAGAAAAGAAGCAATCATTTTCTCAGTATCCAGTTCCTTTACCCTCAGTTCCCTCACATTGGCTCGTGCACACAAACCTTGCCTAGGGACCAGCGGAGAGATCTGCCTCCCACGGCAAGCCCCCGAGTCCCTGCTGCCTTCAGCTGGAGTAGGGAGAATCCAAAGCAAGGACCAGAGGAGGGAGGTAGAGGGCCATGGTGTTTGGAACATGCGACTTCCTGCCGTCCTCGGGTGCTGAGCAGCTCCCACAGCACTTCCTACAGAGGACCCGGTGGAGTGTAGATCCTCTCGGTAGAGGTGAAGGGCACTGCCTAAAGCCCCTGGAGGCTTCCCTGGCCTTCAGGGAAGAGCGCACAGGTGGACCCACTCTCAAGAGCTAGTTTCTGGGTCACTTCTGTGAGGAATACTTCTTCACACATGAGAGCATGGGAAATAGGCCCAGGCCCTGCCTGCCACCCATCCCGCCCCGCCCTGGCATTTCCGGTGGCCTCAGTAGGGTTCTTGTGACCAGCAAGGCAGCAGGGCTGTTGTGTGCTGCACAGCCACCATGTGCCAGCCGCACGCTGTCTGTAAGTGTAGGTGTTGTGTTTTCCCAGCAGGTTATGAGATATCCTTTACCTCCCTGTCATCTCCAAATTCTAGTCTCTTACGCTTCGGCCAGAGGCTGGGCCCTGCAGATCGCTAGTGCACAGGACACAACTGGCTCTGGACCTCCCCAGGGAGCAGAGCTTTTTTTGGAATTTGACATAAAAATCAGGCATCTTGTTCTAAAATGGATTGCATTTTAAGCTCTTGGCTGAAGTATGTTGAGTCACCCAGGAGCGTCTCTACAGATGTTGCCCTGTGGTGCCTGGTCCAGTACAGCTGGGTAAACCCTGGCAACTTGTTTTCCTCTGTCTTCATGCTGTGGATTCCGGAGGAAGGGCTGTTTGGTTCTGTCCACTGTTTGCTCTCTCCCTGGCTTTGGTACGTCCTGGTTTAGAGCAGGAGTCGGGCTGCTCGAGACACTGTTGAGACACTCTGGCCTCCAGGAAGGTGGACGGTAAGGGAGCAATCTGGCAGTGCGAAAAGGACGAGCCCTCCTATAGGTTGTCTCTTAGGGAGCCCCCATGTGAGAGGTAGGCGGCTCTGTTTAATGGTGTGTGTCTGCAGTCTGCACTGCATGCAGTTAAGTCAGAACCCTGCTTTCCACCCAGCACCCCTTCCTGTTTGCCCCAGCCCCCTGAAGCCTTCCCTCAGAACCCTTCTCCCTGGGTAAGGGAGGAGGTCTCTCTATAGGGCCTTGGGACTGCTGGGCCATCTTGGGCTTTGGCAGTTTGTGAGGGTCGAGGGTGGTTGTGGTGGGGGCACAATGCTGTTCTGGGTCCTGGTCGGAGTGGCTCAGGCAGCAGACACTGCTGATTTTTCTTGTAAGTCGGAACCGTCTGTTGGTGGACTGTGCTTTCTTCTAGAGGAGTGAGGCCTGGCCAGGAGGGAGAGCTGAGTGGATTAGCCTAACACAGCACACTGGGGAAAGCCACCTGGTGGGGGGCTTCCAGCTCCTGCCAGCGAGCCCTGGATTCAGGGCTGTGCAGGACGTGGCGCTCAGCAAGGGAGAGGTTCAGGTGGTTTGGGGGATGCCTTCTCATAATATTTGATCATAATTCAGAAATATAAGGAAGTGCCCATCTTGACATAAAGATTTGTTGAGTTCCTGTACCTTGGGATACAGACTAAAGTGCCAAAATGTAGAATTTTTAGGTATGGATTATAGAGCAAGAATTAAACAAAAGATAGGGTATAGCTCAGAGGCTTGCCTGACATGTGAGGTCCTGGATTCCATCCCCAGTACTGGAAAAAGGGGAAAATACAGGAAATACTCAGGCTGCAAATGACACTTCATGGTACCCACTTCAGCGCCCCTGGCCCCCATCTCCCTGAATGCCCCTGCCCTCCCACAGTTACCAGGTCTTGGAAGGTGGCATGTGTCTTCTCAAGCACGTTTTCTCTCTACTGTGACCTTTAGAACTGCTCTGTGTGTTTCAGTTCTCACAAGCAGCACCTCACCAGGGACATTTTTGTGTAGAGTCTGTCTGCGGGTCTCTGTGCTTTCCTGCTGTGTGGTTTGCCTGGATGGCTCTGCCGCTGCCACGGTGTGTGTGCCGTGTCTGAGTCACTGCCACAGAGCTGGTGTAGCCCCTGGCTCTGTTGGTCTCCTCTCCCACTGACTTGGGCCACTAGCACTGATCCTCTGCGGGCTTAGATGTCCACCTGGCAGGACAGAGACAGGCAGGCAGCAGCTCACACTTAGGTATCCATCTAGGGGGGGTCTGCCAAATGGAGCCTGCTGCATATGCAGCCTGAACATGGGAATAGAAGGGCTGGGAAATGCCTGTTTCTTTTCTCTGAGTATGTTAATTCTGAATTTAATCTGTGAGAGATTTTTTTGACCCAGGATTGCCCCTTCTGCTCCATACTGAGGCTAGAACCCAGGGGCACTCTCCCACTAGGCTGCATCCCAGCCCTTTTTAAAATTTTGAGATAGGGACTTGCAAAGTTGCCAAAGCTGGCTTTGAACACATGATCCTCTAGCTGCAGGCGTCCGAGTTGCTGGGATTATAGGCATATGCTGTTGTACCCAGTAACCCAGAGTTTTTGTTTTTGTTTTTGTTTTAACTTTTAAAAATGTTGCTGGGCACAGTAGCCATGCCTGTAATCCCAGCAGCTTGTGAGGCTGAGGCAGGAGGATTACAGGTTCAAAGCCTGCCAAGCCAGCTTCAGCCACTTAGCGAGACCCTGTCTCAAAAAATAAAAAGGATTGGGGATGTGGTTCAGTAGTTAAGCAGCCCTGGGATTCAATACCCAGTACCAAAAAAAGTGGGTGTGGTCACATGGTGCTCACATTTGTATTGCCATGTTCTCGCCTGACTGGGCTTCACTCAGTAAAGTAGCTGTCATGTTTTCTTGCAGAATAAAATCCGCCCTCATTCCAGGGGAGAATATAATGTTTACAGTACCTTTCAAAGTCATGAACCAGAGTTCGACTATTTGAAAAGTCTAGAAATTGAGGAAAAGATTAATAAAATTAGGTGGCTGCCACAGCAGAATGCTGCTCATTTTCTACTGTCTACAAATGGTAAGAGTTTTTTATTGAGTGACTGTTTGATTTAGAATTTTGTTTTTAACCTTCTGTATATGTGGATTTCTTTTTTTCTAGAAATTGTTTCTGGCTTAAACTTTTGGAAGAGTAAATAAATTATCAGCCACAGTGGCAAGTGATAAGTTAAAGATTCAAAATGTGCCCCCCAACAACCAATACTGCGTCCACTACTCTGCACATGTGTCTGCATTTTTATTTTACCAAGAAAAACGTTCATCTATAATTGGAAATGTTCATATTTAAAGACCCCTCGCAGCCTAGACAGCAACAGAACCTCAGTTTTTAGTATGATACCTAAGTAATAATAGTGGTGCATGTTAATGGTTTTTCTTTTAACATGAAGAATGAGGTTTTTATTTGCAGATAAAACTATTAAATTATGGAAAATAAGTGAACGGGATAAAAGAGCAGAAGGTTATAACTTGAAAGATGAAGATGGACGACTCCGAGACCCATTTAGAATCACAGCACTGCGGGTAGGTGCGCCCTCCGCTTTCTTTAAACTTCCCAGCCTCGTTACCTCAGCTGTCTGGCGGTGCTGTGGATGACAGGGAGCCCTGCCTTCTTGACCCAGGAGGTGCTCCTCACGAAGCAGTCGCCTTCGTGTGTGTGTTCAAGGGGGGACGCTGCAGGTTTCCACCAGGCAGAAGTGACGTGCTGCTCAGAGGTACAGCTGAGGTGCCAGGGAGAGTTCACACCCAGCCCCGTGGCAGAGCGCTTCCCTGGGGGCAGCTCAGGCTGCAGCCTGGAAGTCAGACTGTGGGCAGAGGGTGCTCTGTGGTGGTGTTCCTGGAGTCCTGCTCAGGAGCTGAGGCACACTCAGCTGTTGCTGACTTTTTTGCATCAGGGTGTCCGTGAGCATCATTACTTCTAATCGTTAGATTCTCCCCTTACGTTTTGCTGCCCCCATGTGTAGTATGGAGTGACCATAATTCATCAATTCCTGTACTAGACTTTTTTCATGTTTTGACATCTGTATAGTTGCATAAACCTTAGAAATCTCAGTGTCTTGTCATTGTTCTGGTTGAAGGGTGTCTTAAGACACAAGGCTTAAGCTGACTAGACTTGTGCCCAGATAAAACAGGGAAAGTGCTGCCGGGGGTGGAGCCCAGCCTCGGTCCCAGGGGCTGCGGCTACTATTTAGAAAACCGTTGGCTGCTGATTTCTCAATGAGGTTTAAGCCCTGGTTATATATACTCTTGCTCGTCAAAGAAAGACTAGTTAGTGAGCACATTCCAAATCAATGGTCAAGGGAGATCCCAGAAAGGGTGCTGTCCACAGATCCCCACCCCAACACACTCCAGGCCCCAGTGGGCATGCTTGCAGCCCAGAGTGGGCATGGCCTGTTCTGGTGCCATTCTTGAACTGCACCAGGAGGGTGGTGACAGAGCAGCAAGGCCATCTCCACCTGCAGTAGAGAGTAGGTGCAGCTGGGGTGAGAGCATCCCAAGCACAGTCCTCGAACTCCCTGCCTGTGATGCTACTCCCTCATTTCCAGGGTCTTTGTTGAGGCTGGGGAAGGTGGTGTCATTTGCTCAGATCAGTTTATGGGAACTCAGATGTTCTGTTGAAAACGCCGGCGGTTTCTGATATGCCACGCTGCTGCGTGTATCCACCAATCTACAGGAGTCGTGTGGTGGCCGTCTCACTAGTGTTGAGGACCCATCACAGCCATCGTCAATGCTCTCAGTCTTGTGAAGTAGGAGTTTGGGTGACACGGGTCATCCTAAGTCCTGTGCCGTCTGTCCCTCTCCCACCAGCTGTGTGTACAGCCCTCTCAGGAATCCATGTTGCTCCCAGTCAGACCCTGCACCACCCCAGAAGCTCACCTGCTTGTTTTGGAGAAACTGCAGGTCCTATGTGGCCCCTTTAATAGCATCATCCTAAATAAAACCATACATGAGGGGCCACAGGAAACTGATGAGCACAGTTGGCCACCATGTGAGGATGCGGGGTCAGGGCCAAAGGGCTGTGTTTGTGTACCGAGGTCTGTCTAATAGACTCACAGAGGACTATTACCTTGACTGAGCCTACCTGGGCAGGAACCCGAATGTCACTGTTTTAATTTTTTTCTTTTAGTGCCAGAAAAGGGATTTGATTACAAGAAGGACTCAGCATTATTAGTTGCCCTGTGTTCTGATCAGAGACTTGTCAGAGGGTCCTGGCACATGTGCTTTATTCCTGTGCACGGGAGAGCCGACACTCCTGTTCCTGGGAAATGAACCCAGGGCACTCTACCACTGAGGCACATCCCCAGACCTTTTTATTTTTTTATTTTGAGACAGAGTCTCACTAAGTTGCCTTGGGCCTAAGTTGCTGAGGCTGATCTCAAATTTGTGATCCTCGTGCCTGAGCCTCCTGAGTAACTGAAATCATAAGTGTGCATTAGCACCCAGCTCCCCAGCTTATTTTTACAGAATTTGGGGAAGACTCAGATGAGAGATTTCTTCCTGCCTTCAAGGCTCCCTTCTGATGTCTGGTTACCAAAAAAACAGACAACACTATTCCTCGACTTTCCTTTTGCTTGGTGAGGGTCAGGCCGGCCGTCTTGCTTCTGTTCTTGGCGCAGTGCGCTCTGGCCAGGCACCCTCCTCCTCCTCGTTTCTTTGGCACAGCAGCCTGTTTTTTGGAGCCCCTCAGGCACAACACTCAGCACAGGTATGGGGAGGGTGCCTTTGTGGCTTTTCTTCTTAACCTTCAAGTGAAGGGTGTGTACGTGCCCAGAAACGCAGCTGCTGTGGAAGTACTAGCCCTGGGGTGCTCAGACTGGACATGCCACATACTAGCCCCGGATCAAGAAGGGGAGCAGCCTCAGCTCCTCTGAGGGGCCCACATGCGAGCACTGAGTGCAGCGGGAGAGGCTGTGCTCCAGCTGCAGGCGCTGGCACCGCAAGGATCTCCTTGCCTTCCAGGGTGGGCCACAGGGACACAGGTGTCCTCGAGACGTGGGGTGCCTCTGGCTGCAGTCCTGCTAGCTGGTCAGTTGGGGGTGTTGCTGGCCCTACCTTAGATCTGTCCCATACCTGCTTTACTCTTACGCTACCATGACCCTTGTTTTGAATTCCTATTTCCTTCCATTTTTTAGGTTCCAATATTGAAGCCCATGGACCTCATGGTAGAAGCAAGCCCACGACGAATTTTTGCAAATGCTCATACGTATCATATAAATTCCATTTCAGTAAATAGTGATCATGAAACGTATCTTTCTGCAGATGACCTGAGAATTAACCTGTGGCATTTAGAAATCACAGATAGAAGTTTTAGTATCCTTCACTAGACGGTGGTCTCTGCGTTTCCCTAGGGGGTGGTTCAGTCGTTTTCATGTGCACTTGTCTTCATGTAGCTCAGCATTGATCTTTGAAGACAGTTTCCTCCCTAATAGCCTATGAAGAAGTTCTCAGAAATATAAACTTCCCCCTATCTTGGGGAAGTGCTTTGTAGGGCATTGACCTGAAGCCCATGGCCCACCTGATTCAGTCAGAGGCAGTTTTAAACAGAGTGTATTTGAAAAATCAATGTTGTGGTTTTTCTTTAAAATTTACAAATGGTAATAGAGTAGAAAATAAAACTCTGATTAGAATTCTCACATTCAGCCCCATGTGAGAATTTTGAGCCCTTAGTGGCGTGGCCACTCTCCTGCCTTGGCCTCCTGGTATGGCCATCCCCTATATGTACCTCATGCCTCCTGCCCTCTGAAGAACTTCCCAGAGCCTGCCTGTGACTGGCAGGATCTCAGGGCACTGTTTGCTGGCTGGTCACTGTCGAGGGCTGCCCAGCGTTGCCCCACCATCACATGAGTCTCCCTGCGAGGTCTCTGGGGTCCTTGCTCCCCAGTTTGCCCTGGGAATCGCAGCTGCAGCTCTCCCAGACTCCCAGCTCTGTCTCCTAGCTCCGCCTAGGTCCTCTCCTTTGCTGCTGCCAGCGCAACTGTGGGTTGGTTGTGCCTCCAGCCTCTCTGGATGTGCCTTTCCCTCTCTGGCATCCCGTGATTCAAGCTGTGGACTCAAGTTTGTGCGTGTGTTCTTAGTTGTCTCAGCTGGAAGGTGAATCTGGTCCTCCCCATTCCAGACTGGCACGGGGTATTCTGCCTACCCTGGGTTTTTTTGTTTTTTTTCATATATATATATATATATAATTTTTTTTTAAAGAAAGGTTTTTTGTTGGTTTTTTTTTTTTTGAGAGCGAGAGAATTTTAATATTTATTTTTTAGTTTTCAGCAGACACAATACTTTGTATGTGGTGCTGAGGATCGAACCTGGGCCGCACGCATGACAGGCGAGAGCACTACCGCTTGAGCCACATCCCCAGCCCAGTTTTAATATTTTTTTAGTTGTCAATTGATCTTTATTTACTTATATGCAGTACTGAGAGTAGAACCCTGTGCCTCACATGCTAGGCAAGCATTCTACCACTCAGCCCCAGCCCCAGCCCTAGCCCTGTTTTTTTGATGAACCGATTTCTGCATGTGACAGCCACCTCTGTTGGCATTGTTCTGACAATTCCACAAGTGCTTACTTGGCTCCAGGTAATCGGCAAGGGAACCCTTTAGACCTGGCGGAGTTGTGTTCTATCGCGGGGACAGAGTGTAGTGCTCTGCAGAGGAGCCCTCCAGCGCAGGCGCCCATGGTGGAGGTTGGTAGGGTGGCAGTGCAGCAGCAGGGCGAAAGCAGAGCTTGTCTCCACACCCACCCGTGGCCAGGTGCCCGTGGCAGGACTGCCACGGACATTTGAAGCTGCTTCCTGGTGTGCCTCGGGAATGTGATGTGCGCAGTCAGCCTCCTGGGCCTCTGCCCCGCCGCCCTGGGGCCCCTCTGTGTGTCCGCAGCACGCCCATCAGCAGCATGCGCCTTAACGCCTCCCTCCAGACATCGTGGACATCAAACCTGCCAACATGGAGGAGCTGACGGAGGTGATCACCGCCGCAGAGTTCCACCCACACCAGTGCAACGTGTTCGTGTACAGCAGCAGCAAAGGGACCATCCGGCTGTGTGACATGCGCTCCTCCGCCCTGTGCGACCGGCACTCTAAGTGTAAGTACCTTGTTTTAGTCCTCCTTCCAGCTGGGCTTCACCCAGGCCTGGTTCTGTTCCCACAAGCCACTGTCCTGGGCTGGCGTCATGAGGCCAGTGGTTCAGTGCCAGCACTTACCCTCCCTGAGCCTCAGTGCCTCAGCTGAGTTCATCCCCGACCGGGTCCACCGAGCCACTGTGGCCTCCCCCCTAACGCATGGAGCCTGGACTGAGGCTCCAGAAGGCATTGGGCCTGATGACTTGCATTCTGCTCCCCCTGAAGCCAGTTCCCCGGGGGCACTGTCTGCAAGTACTGAGCCTTGAAGTCTTCTGGGGGAGGAAAGCATTGCATTTGTTTCATCTTTAGCCAGGAAGAACAGGCCTGTTGGGTGTGGTGGGACAGGCCTATAGTCTCAGGGTCACCGTCGGCTGAGGTGGGAGGGTTGCATGAGACCTCCAGGGCCTGTGCCATTGCACTCTGGGATATGGAGACCTTGCTGCCCTTCCTGGCCCCTGCCCACAGGGCTCTGCGGGTTTCTGCGTCCTGTGGCGCTTTCCCTGACAGTGAAGTCCCTGACCTGCCCTTCAGCGGGTGTCCCTGCTGGCGCGCAGCACCAGTCAGCCCAGGGCACTCCCTGGCTCCTCCCCAGCTGCCGTCTGCTGCCTGCTCTCTCCTGTGGTCAGAGCACCGTGCTCCTGTTACACTGCCTGCCATGAAGAAGTGTTCTCAGCGTTCAGCAGGTGCAACGTCCAGGGGTGGCTCGCCTGTGAGCAGAGTGACTTAGTGGTGGCAGTGCTGGTTGCTGGCACAAGCTGGCCTCAGGTTCACTTCATGCAGAGACACAAACGTCACAGGTTCCTTGTGGAAAGAAGCAAGGGGAAGCCAAAGCAGATGATGGCAGCACACCTCCCTGGCCTGAGCCTGCTGAGCCAGAGCCATGCGCAGGGCATCTGGTGGCCCAGAGGCTCAGGGGCACCTCCTCCTGACCGACCAGGTGAAGGGAGCTCTGTCCAGTTTCTGTAATAGAGAAAGCAGGTTCTGAGAAGGCACAAGGACCTCTCACAGTTAGAACGTGATTTCAGCATTGAAGACAAAACTCCTGCTGACTGACTTTGGCCAGCAGAACCATTGTAACAGTTAAAATCTGGACCACCAGCCAGGGGTGGAAGGGCACACCTGTAATCCCAACCACTTGGGAACCCGAGGGAGGAGAATGGCAAGTTCAAGGCCAGCCTCAGCAACTTAGCAAGATCCCATCTCAATGAAAAGGGCTGGAGTGTGGCTCAGTGGTAGAGCACCGCTGGGTTCAGTCCCCAGTACAGAACAACACCACACCCGGACCATGGTGGTGGTCGAAGTGGTGGTCAGTCCAGCAGAGCAACCAGGTGTTGACCCTACAGAGAGCAGGCTCACTCTAAGAGGTCCCAAGCACCACACCTGTGAAAAGCATGTGTCTTCTAATTATGGACATGGACAGGACTGATCGTGGCATGTGCTGGCCCAGTGTCATGAGGATACAGGCTTCCCTGTGGTGACGGTCTCGGGCTGGGCCATGCCTGTGAGATTCTGGCTCGGCGTTGACTTGCAATCTGAGTGTGCTTCCAAGCAGCTGTCCTGGCTGGCACTGGGGCAGTGTCCTAGAGGATGCAGTTTTGAGGTTGAACCCTGCGGAGTCTCACTGGGGGGACTGAGACCTGCTAAACTGTAAAACAGCTTGTTTTCTGATTTGAAACAGAAGCTGAAAATATTTTATTTTGTTTTTCAGTTTTTGAAGAGCCTGAAGATCCCAGTAGTAGGTCCTTCTTCTCAGAAATAATCTCATCCATATCCGACGTCAAATTCAGCCATAGTGGTCGGTACATGATGACCCGAGATTACCTGTCAGTGAAGGTGTGGGACCTCAACATGGAGAGCAGGCCAGTGGAGACCCACCAGGTGCATGAGTACCTGCGGAGCAAGCTCTGCTCCCTCTACGAGAACGACTGCATCTTCGACAAGTTTGAGTGCTGCTGGAACGGGTCCGACAGGTGAGACCGCGGGGCAGGAGCCGCCGTCCTGGAGTCTCAGCAGGCCCTTGGGAGGGGTGCTTTTTGGTTTCCTGTGTCCAGCCTCATGCTGGCTGAGGAGCTCAGTTCCGCCACATAGGCAGCCTACTCTCAGTCTGTGCACAGACTGACATGCCAGCCTAGAGCATGCGCAGAGAGGCCAAAGAGATTATTTTTCAGGTCACAGGAAGCAGTGTGATCTTTGTGCTGCGTAAGTTCCCAGAGTGACGTGGGGCCAGGCAGAGGCCGTGTAGGCCATGGGGTTGTGTAACAGCCAAGACACGCTGGTCTTGGAACAGCCTCTGCTTGTGAGGAACGCAGTGGACAAGCCTGTACTTAACCCGGCTCCTGAGGGTAGGGGAGGCCAGTGCGCTCGCACCTTTGGTGCCCCTGCTGGGCCCTAGGACTCCCCAGACTAAAATCACCTGTGTGACTCTTGAGGAAAATTACCACCCATACTTAGAAAAACTCCACCATGGGCAGCCACAACAGCAGCAGAACTCCTGAGAATTGAGGTGTTGAAGTCGTGCATTACAGAATATAAAATAAGGAGGCTTGAAACAGTTCTGCATTAAAGGAAAGAACCAAACACCTGAAAAAGAACCACAGACTATTAAAAGTGACCTAGGAAACCTGAAAGCAAATCAGACAGAAATCTTAAAACGCAAGATACGGCAGGAGAGAGTCCACTGTGGGTTTAGCAGCAGATCCAGTTCAGAGAGAGTTGGAATCATGATGGAAGGGTGAGCCACAGAAGCAGAAAGCCCGAAGGTTCAGTGTGGAGGAGAGGGTAGGGTGTGGCCTACGTCCATGTGCAGAGGAGCATGTTAAAGTAGCATAGCCAGCAGTACGTTCAGCTTAGGGAAGACCATGTGCACATCATAGTGCAGAGCAGGTCTCAAGAGGAACCTGGGAAGGACGCACATCCCACACAGACTGGCCCTTGAGGCTGAGAGCAGACTCCTGCAGCCACTATGGAGGTCTGTCTTAGTCCTGTGTGTGTTGCCATAACAGGATACTAGAAGCTGGGCATTTTTGATAGAGAGGCTTGCTTATCCTTCTGTCTAGCTCACAGGTTGAAGGTTGAAAGGTAAGATCAAGCGACTCCATCTTTTTAGCTTCTGGTGATGGCTTCATGGTGGATGGCATCACTTGGTGAGAGTACATGAGTCAAAGAGCAGGAGAGGCAGCCACGGGAGCCAGACTCCCTTCACAACAGCCTCCTCTCCTGGTAGCTAGCCCAGTGTCTTAAGGAAACCTCAGTCCCTTTGAGAAGGCAGGCCTCTTGAGGCCCCCCACCTCAGTTCTGTGCACAGGGTTGAGTCCCACCTAAGTCTGCCTGGGACAGCCACAGGGGGCCTGCAGGGTAGTGGTGTCTGTTGTAAGCGCCCAGCTGCCTGAGTGCTGGAGAGCACCGTCACCTGCCTAGGGTCATGCATTCAGGCAAGTGGCCCTGTGAGAGAGCCTGTGGGGTGAAGGCATTTTCAGGGGGAGGCAGAACCAACTGTAACAGGAAACCAGAGAGAGAGCCAGACCCCGATGAGCTCGCTGCAGGCTGTTTCCAGCAGGGGGGACCCTGGAGAGAGGGTCTGGGGTCCAGTCGGACCAGCAGAGCAGCAGCAAAGCCATGAGTGAGTGTCTCAGGGCCACACAGATCTGTTGACCTGTGCCAGCTGGCTGGCTGTGCTGCAGGGACAGAGACCAGCCCTCCCCACAGCGTGGAGTGAACAAGCGCTGAGAGTTCAGGGCTCAGAAGCAGATGTAACTAACAGAGAAGAGTCCAGAATAAGGGCAGAGTCACAAATCAGGCAGAAGCCAGCCAAGAGCAAAACTGCAGCAGTGGCCTAGGCATGGAACTGGGGACGAGGAAAAGCGGACCTGGGATTTGGAAGATGAAACACAACTTGGTGATTACAGTGAGCTCCAGTCCACCCCTGGGGCTAGCCCAGCCAAGAAGAGGGGAGCCACTGCCACCTCCAAGAAACAACCTTGAGGCCCCAGCCCCACCTGCACCCCACAGGCAGCACTTCCAGGAAGAGGATCCTGCCCCCAGCTCCAGGTGACACAGACTTAGTGGGGGCCTATGCCCTGAGCAGGTGGTGAAAAGAGCCATAGCAGGCAGGGCTCGACTCCCAGGTCACCAAGAAAGGGGGTGTGCTCACCTGCCCCATCCCCTCCCCAGGTCCTGTGTCTTTACCAGAACAATAAATCTGGCTTTGTTGGTAAAAAAAAAAAAAAAAGAAAGAAAAATTCCAAGCCACTGAGACCCCCTCACAGCACAGCTGTGGGAATTCACAGGGCTCATCCTCATGCACAGCCAGAGGTGGAGACCTGACCCTGCCCTGCCTTGCGTGGGATTCTGGTGACAGGGGGACTGGGAGCCAGAACCCCTAGCCCAGGTATTGAGGTGGGGGTCCCGCCAGCTGTCCGTTCTGCAGCGTAGTGCTGAACAGCTGAGAGGTGGGGAACTGCATGTGTCACAAGTGGCTTCACGAGGAAGCCAACAGGACACAACGTGCCAGCCACACAGACGGCTCCTTTGGGTTTACTCGTGCTTGTGCCAGGGTGCAGTTAGTCTGCTAAGTACTCACTTAGCAAATGTCAGACCCTGGGTTTGACCTTGAGCACCCCCAAAACGGATCTGTGACGGGAAGTGCACAGCTGCTCTGGTGAAGGACTGCCCACTGCCCCACTATGGGGAGCCGAGCCGAGGGCTGGCCTGGCTTTCTGGAGGGGTGCACGATGGGATTCGGCCTTCTTGGTGATGGATATGTGGATACTGGCCGCACTGTTCCTGATACCTTGTAGTTTATTTGAAATATTACAAAATACATTTCAGTAAAACATCCCCACGAGTATCCAAGACCTCTCCTGGTGATACATGCTGCATCCATTTACTCCTGAGGACCCTCCCATCATCTGGTCTGGTAGCACTATAGGGGCAAGATGGTGCAAGGCGAGGCTGAGGGCTGCTGTTGCCTGGCCCCTTGCCACACCAGGTGGTCGTGGCCTCTTGCTCATGTGTCCACATAGGTCTGCACTGGGCTGTTCCCTGCCTGGGGGGTGGCACTTCAGGGCAGGGGCCTAACAGTTCTCTGGCAATTGATTGCCAGGTGGGCTGGGGGATGCCCGCCTCTGGTGTGGGCATTGGCTATCAGGAATTTATAGGTACGCACTGTGCCTCAGATCTTAGCACCAGGTTCCTTGCAGGAGGTTATTTGAAGAACTCCCAGTGAGAGTCGCCCTCCTGTGCAGTCCTGGGTCATGTGTGGTCATCTTGAGACTCGGGCTCTGACACTCGCTGGACTGGGCTCGAACACAGTTGCCTCTCCAGCCCCTCTGGTACCAGAACTCTGGCGATGAGCTGCAGGTCCCGCATGCACAGGACAGCTGTGTGTAGCTCTTCTTCTCTGAGTTCATCTTTTTTTCTGGTGAACCGTTGTAGACGAGGTGCAAGGGACATTGAAGTGTTTGCACATAGCGGGGGAAAGCCCCACGCCCTGTAAGGAGGCCGCCCTCGTTGAAGGTGGGCACCTAGATATGGCACCTCCCCTGAGCACCAGGCGGGGTGAGCCTGTTGAGATGGGAGCAGAGACTGGCCTGGCCTGGCCAGGAAGGTGGGTGAGTGCCATGGACCTCACCTCCACACCAGGAACTTCACTCACTTCGAAGCCCTGGGTCAGCTCGGGCAGCATTGGATGTGAGTGTGGAGGTGAGCTTTAGGCAGCCATCTCTCCCACTTTTGTAGAAAAAGCCGAAGTTTTGCAGTGTGGTCAGGCCGTGTAGTGAGGATGTGTAGGTGCTTTAGTGGGTTCCTGGTCTCAGTTGAAAGTTATGATTGACACTGAGATAAAAGCAGGAAAGGTGTAGCAAATTCTGGATTTATGTAAAATGGGATTCTCCGCTTCTGCCACATTTTGTATTCAAGAGTTTCACTGTATGATATATATTGCTTCATGTAAAAGAAACTTTTTTGAAGATAAATTTAAAACTTGTTTGATTGAGCTGGATCCAGTTGTGCACACCTGTAATCCAGGCAACTGGTGAGGGCGAGGCAAGAGGATTGCAAGTTTGAGGCCGGCCTGCACAACTTGGTAAGCACCTTAGTGAGACCCTGTCTCAAAATCAGAAGAGTTGTGGATGTGGCTCAGTGGTTAAGCACTCCTGAGCTGAGTGTCCAATACCAAAAACAAAAAAAAAAAACAGATGAAATGCCAGTGAAGACGCATTGGCAGAGGTGGCCATGCATGCCGAGCAAGAGTGTGTGGAGGTGAGCTTTGGCGGGCAGTGGCAGTGCAGAAGGCGGAGCTGGGAGAGGAGCCCCACCTGTCCGGACAGGGATGAGCAGGTGGGGTTTCCCGTACTACTTAAGAGGTCATATGGAAGCTTCAGGGAGAGGCTGCGTCTCCTTTCTGACCCCAGCATCTCAGTCCTGGTTTCTGAACGTGCCCAGGTGCTACGGAGGGAGGGGTGGGGAGTACAGGCAGTGCGCAGCCGCCCAGCACTCAGTGCTCCTCTCTTGTCTCGAGCAGTGCTGTCATGACGGGCTCCTACAACAACTTCTTCAGGATGTTCGACAGAAGCACGCGCAGGGATGTCACCCTGGAAGCCTCAAGAGAGAGCAGCAAACCCCGAGCCAGCTTAAAGCCCCGGAAGGTTTGTGCAGGTGGGAAGAGGAAGAAGGACGAGATCAGTGTGGACAGCCTGGACTTCAATAAGAAGATCCTCCACACAGCCTGGCACCCCGTGGACAACATCATTGCCGTGGCCGCCACCAACAACCTGTACATATTCCAGGACAAAGCCAACTGAGGGAGCCGGCGAGGCCTGTGCCGCAGCCCAGACGGCGTCAAGGAGCTCTGCGTTCAGAGCCTCATGCCCTCCCATAGAGCAAGAGCTGGCCTCCGTGCATCCTGGCCTGGCCCTGCCTTCAGCCCAGGAGAGAAGGGTGCTGCTGCTCCAGAGCGGAGCCCACTGGGAGCAGAACTGCTGGACATTGCTCAATAAAGGCCATTACTCAAATAAATATATTTATTTAAGTCTGAGCTTCCTTTCCAGTTTATAGACCAAATACCTAACACCCAGGAAAAGAGGTGTCGTCAGGCCCTCTCCCCATCCCATCCTCCGCTCTTCCCTCTCCCTGCTGTCCCTGGTCCTGTGCCTAGATGTGGGGCGGCCCGAGCCCGGGCAGGTGTTCCCAGTCACTGCATCTGCCATCACACCTCCGGGTGTGGCTACTCAGTGCAAGCAGCACAGTACAGAGTGCTTTTGAAAACAGAAGTTGTTGTCTTGTATTTGCTTCAGGTCTATGTGATGAAATCATGCAGGGTCATTCTTGGGAACAATCTCAGAAACGCTGGTCCTCTTTGGCAGAATGGTGGCATGTGTGCAGTTGTTAGTTCTAACCCAGCTCCCCCGCACTGTCACGCTGCCCTGTTTCTGTAGAAGTAGTCCATCTCCCCACCAGGCCGGGCTGGGCGGGGAGACCACAGGAAGAGACACTGCTGCCCTAAAACCACCCGGCTCCCAGCAGGCCTGAGTCACTACAACTGAAAACATGCTTTCTTTTAAAGTCTTTTTTAAAAGTACTTTGGGGAAAATATACTTTTTAAATATTGCTACAGTTACATGCATGCTTTCACACTGCATTTCAAGCCAGCAGAATTAAACCACTTTAACTGCTTGTGATGCCACCAGTACCTCGTGGTTCATTTCAAAAGATCTTTGATGTCAAAATCAAGGTTTTCCAGCAAAAGTTCAGAGGCGTACCAACATCAAGTAACAGAGATTGCTTCCATGGGATTGGACCCATGAGCCCAGTCACAGCGCCCCTTGCCCTGGGGGGGAGAGCCAGGTCTCAGTGCCATCACTGAAATGAAGGTGTATTTTGATTACTAATGATACAGATATGCAAGGAAAAAAAGTGTCATCATCCTGAGTTGATGTTAACAGAATGCCAGTTTAGTTCACATTAAGTTAGAAATTGAGAACATAAAAATACCTTTATTTTATTTAAAAGTAAGTCATTCTGTATCTTGGTTGTAATGCCATTACAACATCTGAGATGTGGAACAGTCGTGCAGGCATTAGTCAGCCCTGGTCCTTCAAATCAGGATTGTATATATTTGTTTCAACTATTTTGACCAAAAAGTTTAATAAATTTTAAATGATTAACTGGATTTTCACAGTGTTTGGACAACTTTTTCCATTTTTAAAACATATTTCCCACTAAATAGGAAACCAGCCTTTGACGCCTGGGGACAGGCCAAGGTGAGTGCAAGTCCATGCTGCGTAGCTGCGTGCTCCTCGCAGGGTCACGGGTCCCCCAGGCCGAGTGCCCTGGCTGGCAGCCCTGCCCGTTTTCACAGGTTGCCTTCACTGCCGTGCCAGCATCAGAGGTCCCCTTTGTGGCAGTTACAAATACTGGCCAAAGGGATTCACTTCTGAGAGTGAGTGCTTTGTAGAGGCAGGTAGAAAATCTTACCTTCTCCTCTCCCTCTTGCACATCGGATTCCACTAGACCCTTTCTCCATTCCAGTGACTGAGAATCCTAAGGCTTAAATTGATGTTTTGTTTATGTTCAAACTTATGAAGTCTGTCGTTTTTCTTATTCTAAACCTTTCTGTTTTGTTTAAAGTTAGATATCTGTTCCTGAAAGTGAATTCTGTGTATCTCTTATACATGAGATTCGATGCTGAGTCTCTGGCCTGAGACTCTGGATTAGGTGAATAAAAAGTTAAAAATTCAAAAAGGGCTGGAGAAGTAGCTCAGTGATAAAATGGGTGTTCTACCATGCAGGTACACTTCAAAACCTAAACGTACTCTTTTTTCTTTTGGTACCGGGGATTGAACTCGGAGGCACTCAACCACTGAGCCACATCCCCAGCCCTATTGTACTTTATTTAGAGACAGGGTTTCACTGAGTTGCTTAGGGCTTAAGTTGCTGAGGCTGGCTTTGAATTCGAGATCCTCCTGCCTCAGCTTCCCAAGCCACTGGGATTACAGGCGTGCACCTCTGTGCCCAGCTAAAGAGAAAAAGAGAGCTTCTGTAAACCGGTAATGCTGTTAGGAACCTGTGGGTATTTGTGAGCTGAGGGGCAGTGCGGATGCTATCCAGGGACTCCCTGATCTTCCTGTGAGGTGCTTTAAATCGCAGCCTGCCAACCCCAGGAGCTCTCTAGAGGGGAGCCCGTCAGTGCCTGCCAGCCCAGGGCTGTCCCACTGCTCCTCCCAGGAGGGTCTGTGTAAAGGGGATGAGACGGGCATAGGGATGGGCCCTTAACTCTCTCCTTCTAAGCAGGCTGTGTCTCCCTGGACCAGTGCCCTTGGCATCAGCAGGGGAGTAACGGAGAATGCCAGCTAGTAGGAGTCCACACTGCAAGGCCCTGGGACGGTGTCCTGTGCTATAGGTGGGGGAATACTAAGTGCCTGTTGTCTGCAGGTGATACTCTGTGCTCAGCCCTGGTCTGAGACCAGGCTTTACCCAGGACTGGACTGTTGAGTAGGGATGGGTCACATTTCCAGTGTTGTCTATCCCACAGGCACCATGCCCAGAAAGCTGGGGAGTCAGAAGTTCTCTGTGAGCTGCTGACCAGTCCCTGAACACTGCAGATGGAGAATGCTGCCCAGGAGCCACATGCCAGCCTGGCGCCTGCCTGCCCTGCACAGGGCTCCTGCACAGGGCGCACGTGTCTCACCCGCAGCTGCCTGGTGCAGCTGAGCTAAGCAGCAGGCCAGTGGCTTTCATTGTTTAGGGGTGTGCCAGGTGTTGACCTCCACCCCTCTACAGGGCATCGTGGGCTGGGCCAGAGGGCTCATGGCTATGGACAACAGCCCCTTCTGGGCACAGGCTCAGGACGAGTGCTTTGATCCTGGCTGTGGGTTACAGAACAAGCCGCCTGCACATGTGCCCCTGCTGCAGGGCTCAGGTTGAACTCCATGCACTCGTGCCCACATGCTGCTCTGTAGAGTGCCGGTGGTTGTGTGGGCCTGCAGGCCATGGAACTTGACCTTGACCTTTTAGGAACCATGATACCCCTGGAACTGGGCAGGGAAAAAGCCAGCTGAAGGGTGGGCAGAGGTTGGTGCCATCTGCCTTCATGTATAGCCAAGTACACTGCTGGGGCCCCGTCTGTCCAAGGCGCCCAGTGGTGCTGTCACACTAGGCAGGGCACACACAGGACAAGAACCTGCACTTAGACTTCCTCTTTGGTTTTGAGTTATCATAATGCTGATGACTAAAGTGCTCTGCCTCGAACCCCACAGGCATGTCCTCAGAGGACCAGTGGGAGGACCTGGGAGCAGCAGCAAGATGGCCAGAGGCCTGGCACCGCCATCCAGTGTCCTGTACAATGATCTTGTGCAAGTCCCTTCAGTTAGAACATTTTAATGATTTTTAAAAATACAATGGAAACCAGTCCCTCGAAACAGGACTAGGAGTGTGGCTGTCGGATGGTCCACACTGCATCAGACAGGGTTCCCAGCAAGTGGGAAGCAGACCCCCGCCTGGAGTGTGGTGGACAAGCCCCTGGAGAGGAAGAGTCTTGGCACACAGGAGTGGTAGGAAAGCACTTTCCAACTCCACGCTGTTTGACGGCACCAAGTCAGAGACCTGCGATTTCATTGCTAATGACAATCTACAGTGGGTGAGTGAGGGGCACCCTTTATTTTCATTTCTCATCTGGCTGTTAGAAAACTCTTGTGATCAAGTTTTGATTTTGCAGATGCCACAGCATGAAGCTTTGTAGCATCCTTGAGATGTGTCACTGAGTCTCTAGAATAGAGACTGGCCCTTGCACATCTGACTGGCACCCTGAGTCATGAAGGGACTCGTAACTGATCATAATGCTGACGTAGCATGAAGTGCCTCCTGGCACCTGTGGCTGCAGGGCTGGTAGCCAAGACCCAGAGGTTCCAATTGGATGCCATTTACTGCCTTAAGCAATTCACTTGTTTGCCTCTGAGTTAACTGTTAGCAGGTTACTTGGGAGAGCTGGAGGTGTAGGTCAAGGGTAGAGCACTTGTCCACCTTCCACTTGCATGGCAGTACCAGAAAGAAGAAAATTTGGAAAGAGTGGGACACCTTTTTTAAATGAGTGTGTGCTATAAGAATAGGAAACAATTAATTCCTAGGAACTTTAAGTGGAAATTTTGTTCTACAAAATCTAAATATCCAACACAGTGTAACTCTGTGGTTTTTAGGAATATACTTTCTTAAAACCAAACAAGGGGCCCACATGTCATTCCAGCAGCTCAGGAGACAGAGGTTGCAAGTCCAAAACCACAGCTTAACAAGACCCTGTCTCAAAAAACAAAGGGCTGAGTTGTAGCTCAGTGATAGGGAGCCCCTGAGTTCAATCCCCAGTATCAAAAAGAAAAATAATTTTTTCTTAAGTTTTGAGCTGGTAACTTGTAGATATCAAAACCTCTAAAAAGATGATGGAAATGTCTTGCTTGTGCCTCTGACCCTCGTGGGTGGACTGTCCCTTGCTTCTCTGGTGTCCTTTCAGTTTCTAGACACAGACCTGATGTGTTCCCATCCTATTCTTGCACGGGAAGCAGCCAGCAGTGTCCAGGCCTGCTGGTGCTCCTTGGTGCGAGCCATCTCCCACAAGCCTTATGCACAGCTCTGATAAAGATGTGCACCAGCAGTCTGCATGTCCAGAGGCCCCCAGCGATGCTAATGTCACCAGCTCAGTAAGAAGGTATCACTCAATTTTTACTTCATTGTTTTACTTTGAAACATTTTGAACGGGTGAGCACTAGCAGCTCTGCTCATGGGTCCTGCACATTCCTGGATTTCACTGGCTCTCACACGTTCAGGGTCCTTGTTACCTACCTTAGAGACTCCCCAGCTGTCCTGACCCAGCCACTCTCTACTTTGTAGCACATCCTTCAACCCAGGCTTGCCTGGTGTCTTCTTATGACTAAAGTGCAACTACGCATCTTTGCAAAGTCATGCAGAAGGTATGGTGTGGCCTCTGGAGGCAGGCACCCACCAGGCTTCTGCAGTACTGATTAGATCCCATGGAGAGACAGTGACAGGGCTTCACAGTAACTTCAGTTCCCACTGATGTGCCTCCTGGGACTTTGCTGTTTGCACCAGTCCTGTCTCCCATGCTGATTCTATTAGGAAGACCCCCACCTCACATGTACCTGGCTGCCTATGTCCATCACTGTAGACTGAATACCTGCCTTATTCAGTGGCTATCTTGCTACCCAGACTGTCCCCACTTGGCATTCCTCAGGTTGCACACACTAGCACCTGTCCTACCACTGTGGCCCCACTCCTTGAGCACTTCTTGCCCACACACCCAGGTCAGCCCTCTCAGGAGCCCTGCCTTCAGAAGGGCACTGGGAACTGCAGGCCTCACTGCTACTGGAGCAGTCTTGCTGCTGGCCGTCACTGGCAGCTGAAGCTCATGCACATGTGCTCCTCAAACCAGGAGTTCCTGCTAATGCCTCCAGCTCAGCCCATACAGCTGCCCACCATCACCAGTGAGTCTGCCTGCTCAGCGCTAGTGTGCACATAACTCACTTCAAACTGCCAGCCCATGCTCCCCTGCAAAACACACTCACCCGGCAAGACAATAGGGTGGTTGCTTCCCCTGACCTCAGGGCACCAGTCCAGTGTTCTCCAGTGTGCGTGAGCACAGTGCTCCCCACCTGCTCTCCGCTTCACGCCCAGCTGTATGCAATTTTGAATTCCATTCCCCAAAGTGGCTGATTTTAATTACTTGCTGATAGCATTACTGCTGGGCTAGTGGTCTATCATCCCTTCTCATTGCCCCACTGCCCCTCATCTGCGGACCTAGAAAAGTTCATTTAGTTCTGGATGACTCAGCCCACAGCTTTTGCACAAATAAGGAAATGCTATGTTTTCCTTATCTCTTTTTGCATAAAGAATAAATATGCATGTGCGCTTGTGCGGCGGCATTCCTGAGGCTGGAGGGTCACCCAGGTGACTGGCCAGCAGACAAGCTGGCTGTTGATTTCTCCAAAGTCTCCCCGATGTGCAGTCTGGCTTCCTCTCAGCATGGAGGCTGGAGGAACTGGCCCCATACGACTTCCTCCTTTCACTACTGACAAGAAGTCCAGAGGCCAGGAGGAGGGACTATAGACCCCATCTGTTATGGTTTGGATATGAGCTATCACCCAAAAGCTCCTGGCAGGGCAGGAAATTAAATGTTGTGATGGGTGGGTTCACCCATCTGAAGGGCTCCTGTACTAGGTGGTGGCTGCAGCCAGGTAGGGACTGGGTAGAGGGAGCAGGCACTGGAGGCATGCCCTTGAGGACCTGGTCCCTGCTCTTCCTTAGCTTCCCGGCTGCTGTGAGCGGACATCTTGCTTCCTCCTGTGTAGACACTGCATTTGTTTCAGTGTTTTGATATATTAGTATAGATATGGCCCTTTGCGCACATACACCTCAAAATTCAGATCTCCCTTCAGGCTATCTTCCAACAAGTGGTCTATAGGGAAAAAGGACAGCCTGTCGGTTTGTCCCATCCAGAGGCGGGCTCCCCCACCTGTGCTGCCCCTCCCTCCCTGGAGCTGCAGCCCTCTCCACTCCTTGGGGGTCACACTGGAGTCTGTAAGCTCAGGTCCCAGGATTGGTGCAAAGTCTACATCAGGAAACTTGCATTTGGCCAAAGGCTTTTTCTTAAAATTATTTGGATTATGTTAAACATTTTATAAATTTGCTGTTCCCCAAATGAGTAATAGTGCAGGCAATTACCTGTATAGATGGCTAGTTGCCAAAGACCTTCAGAAAGGCCTGATTGCTCTACTGCCGTCATTCTGAGAACTGAGCATCGGAGCTGGCCTCCTGTCGCAGTGGGCTGGAAAGTTCTGGAGAAACACTGCCCCTGCATGGAGCACGGACAAGGACACGCTCCCCTCTCCCTGAACATGCGTTCGGCTGCCTGCACGGCACTCGTGTCCTGGGGGCTGTGGCCGACCCAACACAGGGAGGAGGTGCAGAAGCTCTGCAAACCTGAGGCGGGTTACAAGGGACATGAGTGCCTGCAGGCGCTGGCATCCCTGGGGATGGGGTGTATATGTGAAGCGCCTACTGTAAGGCAGTCTGGTGAAGACGCCCTGACAACTCAAGCCTCAGTCTCATCTCTTATGTCCACAGCATTTCCAGCCAGTTTCACTGAATTCGGGCCACTGGTGACAGGGTTTGTCAATTGAGTGGCTGTGCCAAGTCCGGGGACACTTGAAAGCCTGTTTCATCACAACATTCAGAACAAGAAGCTCTCGATGTAAGCCAAGCATGTTGTTCTACACAAAAGGGAAGTGTCTCATCAGGGTGAGCTAGTGTGAACTCATGGACGATCTTTCTTTGAGGTTCGACTCTGAGGACTTCTGGTGCCACCCCACTAGCCACCTCCAGTTGAGCGGGCATCAGCTAGCATTTCCAAGGCAACAACTTAAAAGATTTTTTTTAAGTTAAAATTTTAATTTATTTTAACACACCTCAATGAAGTAGGGAAAAGGCAAAATACAAGGCATATACAGCATATCAAAGAGGCAGCCTTTTAGAAATCATGCTGTAGAAAAGATAAAGCAGGACATGTGGTGAACTAGTTCAATCAAGCTTTTATGACACCATATGTAAATACGACAATCTGAAGAATTTGGCAAAGATTTATTTTTGTCTATCTCCAGTTTAAGTAGATACGTCTGCTTACAGTAAAGCTGTGTAAGAGCACACAAAAGCTGAACACAAACAGTAAGATCAGACCCAGCAATCCAGAGCTGCAGAGTAAGACCAAGTAGGTGCCTTCAACAGCAGTTCAACCGTCCAGGAGATGATGGACAGTCGGGGGCTGGGGTCCGCACCCGGCAGAAGGCCCTCAGGGTGCGGGCTGCACAGTGGAGCCTGCAGCTATACCTGGGTTCCATGGCTCCGGATGGAGACAGCCCACGTCCACTATATCTAACATGCCATTGAAAACAGGGATTATAAGGCCACAGTATTTCTTTTGGACGAATCCCTTACTGTAGTAATTTTTTTCCTATTAATGTAGTTCAGTCTTTTGAAATATAAATTATATTTTAACAATTAAGGTTACAGTTAATTTTTTAATTACTACATAATAACTATTAAATTATTTATACTATTTATACCTAATATCCAAAGGAAATTTACTACCAAATCTTACAGTAACTATCAGTCTGACATGCTTAGTAATTGATCCCATAGGTATAATTACAGGCCAGCATGATTTTAGTGTCTGCTGTTTCATTTTACTAAGTTATGAGCGCAGCATTTATGGAACAAATAAACTCAAGTGGTGCGGCCACCCAAGGATCACCGTAGCGCCAGCCGTCAGCTCAGGAGGGAATCCCAGCACGCCGACAACGCCATGTCCACATCTCCCTCAAAAGGTGCTGGTGGAGGTTGTCAGACGCCTCCCAATGTAGATCCTGTCAGAAGAGTGACTGAAGTCAGTGGGGCCTCCAGCTCTCATGTGGCTCTGCTCAGCTAGATAGGCAGCTCATGGTGGCTACAGCTTTGGAGGGACTGGCTATTTTATACCCATTTAAAATGTTTGTGATGACATCTGTAATCCTTCATCAAGGGGTTTACTCAAAACGCCCAGTTGTGTCCTCACAGTGTGCTGTGCTAAACGAGCACAACACAGGTGACCAGCTGGGGTTGCAGATCGGGGGCAGAGCACCTGACTGGCAAGCACAAGGCTCTGGGCTCGTCCCCAGCACCAGAAAAACAAAGGGTCAAAGTAGGATACCAATCAAGTAGAAGTGCTGTTGCTACCCAGAACAGCCTTTTCACTGTTTATAAAGTGATCCAACGCAGTGTTGGAAGACACCCCCAGGGCAGGTGGCACCACTATCAGTCCATCATCCCCAACCTCAAATACCAATCACTGAATCAGGAAGCCCTGCCCACAGCAGCCCAAGCCTGGTCCCAGTGGATACCTGAAAAGCAGGGGATATCGCTTAAGAGGGCACGGGGCTGGCCAGGAATGGAGGAAGAGACAGCAGACCATGAGCTTTCTGGGACCAACTATAGAGGGTGGTTTCCATGCTGCTCATGATGGGAAGCTGCTGAGAAGCTTGGGGTGGGTTTGGAACCATCAGTCTCCAAAAGACTGAGCAGGATGAAGGACAGGGACTGTAGCCAGAAACTGGCTGCAGAAAACCATCCTGAAAGGCACAGCTAATCTAGGCATTTAGAATAGGTATTACCAGGCCCTTCTTGCTAGTTCTGGGAAAAGCTCAAAAAATCAGTACCTAACCACATCATTGGTGAGACTGATGCACACTAAGTCTGAGCCCAAAGCCAAAATGAAGATGATGGATTGGAGCCTTCCTTGAGACAAAAGAACCAGCACACAGGCAGCCAGAGAAAGGTGCCAGCCCAGCAAGAAGAGGTATGAGGTTCATTGTGGATTGCGGTCACTCTTTAAGGAGCCTCTGGCTCACCCAGGAAGCCATTTCCACAGCAGGTGGAACCATGGGCCAAGGAGGGGGCTGGATGTGACCCAAGGACCACAGCTCTCACAAACCACAGCAGGTAAGCGACCAGATGTGATCCGCCACAAGGGAGATTCTGGGGAAATAGGGTGACCATGCCACAGAACCTTTCATCCTGTGCCCTGTTGTCCCCCCACACAAACACAAGCCCTCCAGCTAACCTAAGCCAGAAGCCAGTGCCAGCAGCCGGCTCTCCAGGAACCCACAGCCACCAGAACACTGCCCATCTCGGGAGATGGCCACATGCCTGGCAGCTAAGGAAGGGAAGAACAGCTCTACCCTTCAGCACCGTCCAGCTGGAGGTTTTAGAACCACAGCAGCACCTGCCTGGACTCCCAATGCTTCCTGCAGTTACTTAGCACATGAAGCCAGAAATCTAGAGACCTTGTTTTTTCTGTTGCTGCTGAGAATGGAAGAGAACAATCCCATGCCACCCACAGTGAAGGGGACAGGTCAGTGCAATGCCACACAGGAGTGCACTAATCCAGACCACACAAAGCAGTCCAGGAACAGAAGGTGGACGCAGTCCTATGCAAGGAGAAGGGCTAAAGGACTGCTGGAGGGCCTTCCAGAGTTGCCCGTGTTTCCCTTTCCTGACCAGTGACAATGTGGTTGTCTGTGAAGCCGCGCCCAGCTGTCACAGATTTAGGAGACTCTGGACCCTCCCAAGGCCCACTGTAACATCACCTACCCCAATCCAATGGCCAGGAGATGGGACAGCAGCAGAGACGGAAGAAAGACCTTGAGGAACTCTGCAGAGAAGATGCCCCCCTTCTTCATGACACTGGTGTTTCTCATGCTGAGCGTGGCCGTGCGCTTGGGGTGTCGAAAGAGGAACTCCCTGGGCGGGGAGAAACACGGCGGTCAGTGTACCCATCACCACAGAGCCCCTGGTGCTGAACGCAGACTTACTTGGGGGGGATGTTTTCTGGCCGACTTGACCAATCCCATATCCAGTCTGAGTTTTTCTTTAAGATGCTTTCGACCTCTTTCCTTCTCTCAAGATAATCTTCCTCGGACTAAGATAAAGCAAATATTTAAAGCAGATTAATTAGCCTACCACAGTCACACCAGGAAGCACGAGATCAGTCAGCCAAACACAGCCTAAAGACACAGGTCCACTCCTCCGGCCACAATCCGGGGGCTGGTGAACAGGGTCACCCAAGGGCAGACCCCCCCCAGCTGGGAAGTGCCCCCCAGCCCATCAGGACCCCGGTGCGACTGCGAGCTTCTGTCAGCACTGAGAGCTGCAAACATGGCTTAGGACACCACGAAGGGAGGACAAAGGTGGTGACCGCAGCCATGTGACCCAGCGACCTGAAGGAAGCAAGCTCTGTGCAGCCAGGGTGTCCCAGGAGAGGCAGGAGCACTCACCATCACAGCTGAGCTGCACTAAAGACCTACTAACTTCAAGGAACTTGACAATACGGGACTACAGTGCTTCTTGACTCTGCTGCTTTGCATTTTCAAGATTCTGTGCCTGGGCATGCAATTCCTTTCTGGGGGGCGGGGTATGTAAAACAGTGGAAACCCTCTAGAATGCAGTGCCAAACCTATCAGATGTATGGATGCGAAGCTGGACAGGGACCTCAAACATCTGGAAAGAGGTCACACCTGGGGCACAGCCAGATTCTTACTCGCTACCAGGTTCCTGCTGAGCTCTGGCAGCCTTAGAACCCTGTCTGGGGCAGGGAGACGTCCCAGGGAAAGCAGGGATAGCAGGGAGCCCGAGAGGAACTGAACAGGAGGAAGAAGGACTAGTGCAACCCAAGACCCTGCGTCAGGCTAAGGCAACTCTTGAGCCAATTACAAGGGGAAACACCACTGTTCCATCCTCACTGTTACTGACTGTCCCAGAGGGTGTCCCCTGCACATACATGGTGTGCACAAGGCACAGCTCTGCGACCTTAGCAGCGCATCACCATCACTGCCTCAAAGTCCACGCAGGAGAAGGGGGGCTACAGGTCACTAAGGCACACACTCAACTATCTCTTTGCCTCCCAGGCTGATACCTTTAGAAGGCTTTGTGGCCTGTCCATGTTGGAAGTTACCAGTTCCTGAGCTACTAACACAAACCACCCTCGAGCACCAGTTAGCATCAGGTGCGGAACAGACAACAGTGCCTAGGGAGACGCCCAGAAGCCACAGCCACCTGGGGGCACCAGAACCAGCTCTCAGCCACCCTCCCAGGGGCCAGGAGGCCCCAAGTGCAGCCCCATCCATGCCTCCCCTGGCCAGCCCACCATGAAGGCCATGTGCTGTGGGTGTCCCCACAAGATTTCTTTTCCCAAAGGCATGAGACACCCCAAGGGCCAGCCGTGCTCAGATACCCTAGGAAGCCCACACGCCCTCCAGCTTACCTGAGAGCTGTTCTTCTCACCGATGCTGTGGGCATCTGTTTCTGAAGCTCTCGTGTTTTCTTGTGGCGTCTGTGAGCGCGGTGGGCTTGGTAACAATGTAAACAGAGTAGGAAAAAAACAGCGTCACATTAACGTTCTGTGTTCAGAAGCAAACACCCCCGGCTGCAAGCAGTGCAGATGCCTGTAACCCTAGCTACTCGGGAGGCTGAGGCAGAGGATGCGAATTTGAGGCCAGCCTGGGCAACTCAGCGAGGCCCTGTTGCCTAACAACAAGGGCTGGGAAGCAGCTCTGCCGTCAAGGGAGCCCATCCTGTGCAAGGCCACGCTTCAGTCCCCAGTACCAAAAAACAACAGGCAGCAAAACCCAAGACAGGGGCCATCTGCTCAGCTAAGCACAGAATGCAGGGCAGCTGCCAGCCACAGGCAGGGCCAGATGCTCCCAGTCTTCCTAGGTGGGCACCTCTTATTCCCCGGCAGTCGGCTATAGCTGGCTCTGGTCGGTGGCTCCCAGCCATGCCACCTTGGGCTCACTGCCAAGCCAGGGGAGGGCATGAGTGCTTCTCAGAGGCAGTCAGCTAAACACAGAGCCTAGAGACACAGTTCCACTCCTCTGGCCACAGTCCGGGAACTGGTGAACAGGGTCACCCCCAAGGGCAGACCCCAGCCGGGAAGTCCCCCCAAGCCCATCAGGACTATGGTGCCGAGGTTCATGCCAAGTGACCTCAGGAGTGCCTTCACCATGCTGGCTGGCGTGAGGGGCAGAAGGGACCCTTTTGTTGAGTGTTCTGGCCTCAACACTGTGCCTCCAGAGAAACCCCAGGTCTCCTACCCCAGACAGCAGGCTCCTGCTGTGCCAGGACTCCCAAGAGCACCCCTTGTTTGGCCTCAGCCAAAAGGCCCCCGGTTCCTTGAAGGTCACAGGGGCATGTGCACCTGTGCCTGCCCATCTCTTAGGGAAGTCAACACTGGGGTACATACACGTACTGACCCTACCTGTCACAGTGAGAGCTCTTGGAACTACTCCGTCCAGATTCGTGCTGGGCGTCCAGCAGTATTTTTTCCATGTCACCATTATAAATAGATACTGAGGCTGGAACACCGCTCCCATTCCCGTTGCTGAAGTGCAGCTCCACCCAGGAGCCTAGGGACCAAAAAGAGGCATGGCTGGAACTCTCCACCCACTCTGGAATCTGGTCCTAACATAACCTGTCACCCCCCACTTCCAAGAGAACGAGTCACCCTGTGAGCCATCGTGCCTACTCTGACCCACATCCCTGGTCTGCTGCCTCATTGGCTGGTTTGCCATTTCTTTAAACCAAGCAGATGTCAGATAAACCTGTTGTGTCCTCAGAGTCCAGCTTGATCACTGTCTTGCAGTCAGCTTTTAGAAGAAAAGACTGTCAAAAGTTTAAAGAATCAAACATTTCCTTTAGAAGATTCACCCTTAGCCTACTTCCACACCCCAGAATCACACACTGACCCAAAGCCCTTAAGATCCACATTGCCGCCTTTCATTTCAGTCTGACCAGAACAAGCTACCCTTTCAAGTAGGGCTTGGACGAATCTTGACACTGACACTCCACGTTAAAACGCTGGGGATGTAGTTCAGTGGTGGAGTGTCCTGGATTCACGACCCAGTAACAGGAAAAAAAAAAAACGGGGGGGCGGGGGACGTCAATTTTGCTAAGCCTGGACAGCTTAGCAAAATCCCATCTCAAAGTCAACAGCAACAGGAAGGTCTGGGGCAGCGCTCAGTGGAGGAGCACTGCCTGGCACGCTGGCAGTCCTGGGTTCAGTGCCCAGGCCCAGCACCACAGGGACGCCCACTGGCATCTTCACACTTAGGTGTGTGGTTCTCTCCCAGTCGGGCTGACAGTGCACCTACACGCTACACACACTCTTGTCACCTTTTCTGGGCACACACTCACTTGTTGGTGAGACTGTGAGTTCAAAGGTGTGTAGTGTGTAGCTGCTAGGACACCCTCCTTCACAACCCACCACACATTGCTGCTGCCGACAGGCCACGGGTCCCCCCCTGGCCATCCTGCGTTATGTTTCAGGCCTCTGCTCCCCTCTGCCATGGTGCCTCCTCTGTTAGGAATCAAGCATGCGGGCTGGGCTGCAGCTCAGAGGCATAGCGCCTGCCTAGCACACGGGCGGCACTGGGTTCCATCCTGAGCACGTTAAAATAGACAAGTAAACTGGAGGCATTCTGTCCAGCTACAAAAAAAAGAAATCAAGCACACGTACCTATGCATGGTCAGGATGACCTGATTTGTTTATTTATAGAAAAGCCTTTGTTTACAAACACCCAGTGTTAGGAGACAGGAGGGAACATGACACAGGAGACTCAAGGACAAACGGGCACTGTTCATGGCCGCTGCAGTTCTCCCCAGTACAGTGAGATCCACGCTCTGTCCTTAACCAACAGAGCAGCACCCTGGTCGTCTGGGAGGAGTGCAGCCGACTAGTGACCTACTCAGCGCCCTCCGGAGGCAGGTGTAAGCCGGGGTCCCCTGAAATGGCCTGGCCTCAGTGGGACACTGGATGGGGAGTGCGTCACATCAATCAGAAGAAAGCACATCGGAGGCACGGGAATTAAGCTTGCCTGGACCGCCTGGGCGAGCGCTCCAAGGGCCACGTGAAACCCTAGAGCCGCCACAAGGTTCCCCCTGCCCTGCCCACAGGAGGCAGGCACCCTCCTCGCAGGCCAGACTGGGAGCCCACGGGGACCTCGACTAACTCCAGGCATGCTGACACTGGGCACCAGCACTAACTCTACCAAGACTCTTTGGCAGCTGCCCCCTCGCTGGGCCTTAGGACACAGGCTGTCCAGCAGCCTCCGGGTCATTCCCTTTTCTAGGCTCACCGAGGAGGCTGCAATGCTGCCTGGGTCTCCCTGGTGTGTGACACCAGCAGGGTTTGAGGCATGGTGCGTGGAGCCTTTCCCCACCAACAACCAGCTCTCCAGCACCAAACGGCCTCCAACAGCTCAATTCTGACACTATCACCCAGTCCGTGACATGGCACAAACTAAGGTACCCAGGCTACCCACACAACTACCTGGACACTGGCTGCAAATTTAGAGGTTCCCACACCCCACCCCACTGGCTCAGTACAGTGCTGTGACTCAGAGAACTCGAGAAAGACTACTTGTGTTCTGGACACCATTTGGAAAAGGCCAGAAGGACACAGCACACAGAAGCAGGGATGAGAGAAAGAAAGCTCCCACCTTCCCACAACTCCCCTCCTGTCCCCCAGGGCCCCAAGTTTCCACCCTCTGATGGCTTACTCGTTCCTTCTGGGGACCAACCCTTTGTCTGAGCTACAGAGGCCAGGGTCCCACTAAGGCAGCTCATCAGCGTCTACCTGAGTGTATCCCAGGACTCGAGCAAGACATGCCCATCACTCGGGAGATCCTAGCTGAAGGGGGTCTGTCCCAGAGGCAGGGACAAGGACCAAATACGCATTTCTTACACAGGGGCACCCCGAACCTTGAAGGAAACAGTCTGTGGTGGTGACTCAGAACACCACAGACTCAAAGGTGGTTGGTTCATAAAGAAGTTTGTTTCTCAAGTCTGAGGCCGGGAAGGCCAAGAGGAGGCCCTAGCCTGTGGGGTCTGCTTTTGGCAGGAGGCACGAAGGCACAGCCCCTCCCTCCACCCTCCTCCACCAGCACCAGGTCCTGCCTCACCGACAACCCCTGGGACAGGAGGAACACATACCGCCCCAGCAGTGCTGAGTCCCCGGGATCCTGAGAGAAAGGAGCACCCCATCCTGGCTCAGCAGCAGCACCATCTTTGGGTCTGAAAGCTCTACACAAGGAACGATTGGCTCAGGGACAGAAGTCACTACTGCCCCACAACGACTGGCCAGGAAACACCCTGCAGGACACTGTCCACCCGCTGAGGTCTTGCAGCTGGCCAGAAGAGCTGTTTAAGAAAGGCAGCTCTCAGGTTTCTCAACAACCTCAGAAAACCACCTTGGGTTCCGAGTGAACCATTACGACAACTGATACCTTGGGCCTTAGCAGGGTAGGCCCTCACTCCAGTTCCACTTTACATCCCTCTCCTACCCTCACTTCCACCGCCACCATCAAGGCACAGCAAGGTGACCGTAGCTCCCCTGTGGATCAAGGTGAGCTCAACAGAAAGCCCAGGCTATAAATATTTAGCCATTATAAAAAGAAACCTACAGGTCCGCGCCTTAGAGATCAAACACAATGCAGCTCCTCCGAGTTCTCAACCCACTTCCTCATCTCCCGTGAGCACAGCTGACCTCAGCTTCCGGCACTCCGGGGACTGCCCCAGCCTCCCTGCCCTGCGTCCCAAGGCAGCCTTGCAGCTCTCCGTTCCCCAGCACTGAGCGACCAGGGCCAGCAGAGCCCCAAGGAGAGAGCACACACAGGCCCCTCCCCCCCGCTGGGTGGCAGGACTCAACCCTGGCCACAGGAGGACCAGTGAGACTGCCCTTGCTTCCCTGAAGCCATAGGGCTGATTTGGAATGCTGAGGCAGACACCCTGAAAGAGCTCACCCACCCATTGTCCCAGCATCAGGAGGCCCAGCAGGAGGACTGCAAATGCAACCTGGGCAACTTAGTGAGACCCTGCCTCAAAACATAGGAATAAAGGAGCTGGGACATAGCTCAGTAGTAAAGGGTCCTGGGACTCAACCCCCAGTACCACAAAATAAATAAAGTTCTACCAGACCCTAGCCAGGGTTGAAACACCCACCCAACAAGCAGCTCCCAGGCAGGCCCAGGGAAGCTCCCAGGGTGGCAGACAGTGGTGCACCCCAGGAGAAGCCCAGCAGTGGGCAAACCCTGGAGGGAATCCAAGCCCCAAAGGACTCTCCCTAGAAGTGGGCCTCCGGAAACTGCTGTCTGCATTTAGAAGCCTCTTAGTTGTCAGGGGGGGGGACAAGGGCTGGAAATGGCACACATGTTGAGCATGAAGTCCACTGGGCCGGTGACTGGCATCTAGGTGAGCTGACCACGCCTAACACATTCTCAGTCACCTGGGCTTCAGGTATTCCTCTGGTACTTAGCACAGCACCTGAGTTTTCCTTAACCATCCCTGTTGATGGGGAGCACTTAGCTATGCACTCATGGTCCTGGGGGGCCACACACATGCCACCCCCTCAGGCCACTGTGACTCATGTCTTTACAAAGTCCCAACTCCCTCCTGCACTTCAGCAGTAATATATCAAAAGAAAAATAAAGCCACAGTGCCCCCCCCCCCCCCACTGAAGAGCTTCAGCTGGACTGGACAGGGTGGGAAGGAGCACCAACCAATCAGTGCTGGCCCGTGGGCTTGGCTACCAGCCTCTGCCGGCCCAGCTCGGGGTAAACAAGCCACAGTCCAATCAGAGCAGAGGCAGGGAGGGCAAGTGTGGCCAGCGAATCCCAGCCTGGATTCACATTTCCTGGGGCAGCTGAAGGCCCCACGTGATCAGTGACCCCTCCTACCCTAGGCAAATGGTAAGCAAGTGCCGGACTGCACGTAGACTCCAGTGGGGCCCAAAGAATCCTCAACCATACTCTGGGTAACCACCTTTTTATAGAATAGCAATGCAGGAAAACAAAAATCTGTTTAACTCTTGGGCTGACAATCTTGCTGCCAATGACTCAGCAATTCAGGGGGGTTGGCAACAAAGGAGGACACAGTCAGCCCCTGGAAACCCTTCCAAGACACAAGACACTACAGCTGAACTAACACACAATGTTAGACATAAAGCAGCTGATAACAAGAAAGAGTTCATGAAACACTCCCTGGATCAGATTTCATGACCAAAAAAAACCTCTCAAATCTATTTCAAAGAAGTTGTTATCACTGTTTCAAAATTTGGTTGTAGCTTTAAATATTGTAAAGTCGGCTACTTGGGAGACTGAGGCAGGAGGATGGGGAGTTCGAGGCCAGCCTCAGCAATTTGAGACCCAGTCTCAAAATGAAAACTTAAAAAAAAAGAGCTGTGGGTGTAGTTAAGTGACAGAGAGCTTACCTAGCATGGGTTCAATCCCCAGCACCTCCCCACCCAAAACAGGACATAGTCTACAATACCCTAGGCTAAGTAAATCCTGCCTAGTAAAACCTTTAGATAATAAATTAACAGCTCCCTAGACCTACCTGAATAGAAACTTCTAAAAAATCTTAATGAAATTTCAAGCTTCACCCTCAAAGGTTTAAAAAGTCCTCTCCAAATGTATTCACATGGTCATTTTGCTCAGGGAACTCTTGCATCAGACAATACAAAGGTCAATTCCCCCTTGACTCTTGGACCCTTGGGATTGGGTAGAGGCTGGGGGCTGGCTTTACTCTGTGGCGCACAAGCCTGCTCCACCCACCCCAGACCCACAGGTGGCACATGTAAAAGGCCAATCCCGTGAAGCCAGAACCAGCACGGAAAGCCAGCCGGCGTCTGCCCGGGAGTCCCAGTCAGTGGGCTGGGAGCCGGCAGGCAGTGATCTTGCACTTATACTTTTTAACCTAGAATCGATCCGCTTGGGGGAGAGGGGGCGGGTACTGGGAACTGAACCCAGAACCCCGGTGCGCGCCATCACAGAGCTACACCCATAAACTATCTCATCATTGAGGCAGGATCTCACCAAACTGCCCAGGCTGGCTAGGCAATTGATCCTCCTGCTCAAATCAATTCAACTCTCTTGGCGTGAACCTCTAGCAGAACTGAGGCAAGAAGCAGTTTAAACCCTATTTTTAAAAAGCCACTCAGACCTTTCGCTGGCAAAAAAGCAGCCAACCGATTCAGGCCAGGATCCTGTAACCCCGCCCCTCTTCTTCCTACTTTAGGAAGTCCTAAGAGTCCCTCCGGAAATAAATGTTAGAGACTTAAAACCAAAGCACTGCCGAGCGCGGTGGGGCACTCCAGTCGTCCCTGCGACTCAGGAGGCTGAGGCAGGAGGATGGCAAATTGGAGGCCCTCCGCAACTTAGGGAAGTCCTACCTCAAAAATCAAAAATAAAAAGGACGGGGATGTAGCTTAGTGATGGTTCAATCCCACTGCAAAAAAAAAAAAAAAAAAAAAAAAATCCCAGCACACACGGTTCCACTTCAACACCCGCGGCCTCCGCTGCGTGCCCGGCTGGTGCACCCAGGGCCCCGGGAGCAGGGCCCCAGTGACGGACTACTTCCAGCTGCGACGTCAGGTCGCGTGGATGGAGAAGCAGGCTCCTCGCTCAGCTCCCAACCGCGGGGCCCCGCCGTGGCCTCGCTCGGACTTCGCCAGCTCCCGCGCCCCCCTCCCGCTCGCCCCCCCCCCGCTCCCGCAGCCTCCCGCGCCTCACCCTGAAGGGTCTCCTCCTGCATCCCGGGGGCTCCGCTCTGCGACATGGCGCCGGAGCGTGGCTCGACAGCGGGGTTGCGCTCGGCTGCGGCTGCGCCTCGGCGGCGACCGCGGTGGAAAACGCACGCCGCCGGCCGACCGCTCAGCACTGAGCTGGGACCGCGCCGCACCGGGGTAAACTAGGGGCGGAGCGGGGCGGGGCGGGGCGGGGCGGGGCGAATGCGAGGCGGGCCCGGCGGCGTCGCCCATTGGCCGCGGGGCGGAACCTGCGTCGCGCGGGACGCCGGGCGCGTGCGGCACGTGCACCGCGTGCGCAGGATGGGGCCTGAAGCGCGTGCGTGAAGGAGGGCGTACGTGAGAGGGGCCGACCGGTCACCTGCAGGGTGGGGCCTGTGGCGTGCGCATGCAGGAGGGCGTACGTGCGAAGGGCGGGGCCCGACCCTCTACGGAATGGGCGTGCGCGGGGTGGGACCTACAGCGCGTGCGTGCAAGAGGGCACACGTGCGAGGGGCAGGGCCCCGCCCTCTCCCAACTGGGCGTCTGCGGGGTGGGGCCTGGGGCGCGTGCGTGGAGTAAACCGTGGGTGCGAGGGGGCGGGGCCGAGGGGCCTCCAGTGAGGGAGGCGCCTGAGAGGTCGGACCGCCGGGCGCGGGGGCTGTGCTCGCGTCTCCCGCGGGCGAGGAGTCGTCAGGCTGCGGCCGGCCATCGGTCCCGGCCCACGCCCTGCCTCGTCGCCCTGCTGCCTCCCGTGCAGGTTTTTCTCCCCCGGGAACAGCTGTACGCGTGGCCGGTGCGGCGGGCGGCCCGGAGCCGCGCTTCCGTAGCGGGGCGAGGCGCGTTCCCCGTACCGTCGGCCTGGCTGGGGCCGCCGCTGGGCGCAGCTGTGGGGCAGGGCTCGCGGCCTCGGAGCTGCACCCCGCCCTGCCGCTGAGCCGCCGCTGCAGCCAGCGGGGGACGGAGCCGAGTGGGGACTGCCCCAAAGACAGCACCAGAGGAGGGCCCTAGTCCTCCACGCTCGTCTCCCGGGAGACGGGTGGGAAGTGCGAGCGAGGGCGGGGTGGAAATGTCATCCAAGCCAACGGGGTCTTTGCCTTTGTAATGAAAAAGGAAGTTTCCCTACAATCCCGACCTCAGAGCCCTCAGTGAAGACTTCCTGGAGTGAGCCTAGCGTCCTAAAGGGAGAGGAGGAGCCCCAGACCTGCTTGCACACGCTTGTGTGCGAGAGAGGAGC